CCATGCCACCTGCTGGTCCCCATTTCATTATGTATTAATGGAAGGCAATCTGTCAAAACGGCCTCTCACAGATATGAAAAATTTCAAAGTTTCAAAAGTCCTGGGAACCAGCAGTTAGCGAAATGGCTATGTCGCTGGACTACCACGTAGTCGACCGCGGTTCGCGTCCCGGACGCGTGTGCGTGAGTGCCCAAGATCCCAAGAGGAGAATGGAGGAGAAGGGATTGTGGCATGACCATCCCCCCTGGGGGGTGATTTCTCGCTTTCTGTCTCTCTGTCTCTCTCTGTCTGTCTGGCGAGTGCACGCGCCCTGTAGTGAAAACCTCTCCAAAAAAATAAAAGAAAAGAAAGTCCTGATATCTGAGTAAATGTGTTATTTGTGAGTTCTCAAAGTTTCAGAAACTAGTTCCATCTCGCGTCCTGTTTGGGTATGTAGACTTGAACAACTGGAAAGACACATTTGGCCCTGTCTCCCAAACTTCCCCCTCCTTTATACCAAATACCTATGTAGTCTAGATGGCGTCCACTCCCTAGCCCTATCCTGCAGATCATGTTAGAAGCAGTGCTTAGAGGAAGCGTGAATCCGATTTTCACTCCAAGAACTTAGCATGAAATCCCCTGTGTGCCTTGCCTGAAAAAGTAAACTTTCTCCCTTCTGCCTGGAATTCCCATTAAGGACACAATGCGCTCCCAGAGAACAGGACTGCTTCCTGGGCAGGATCCAACCGAGGGACCCACTTTTCCAGGTTGGCGTGTCTTCCTCCCCTCAAAGGTCACAAACCCGCGACCATCTGCACTTAACATTTGCCCTCTGGTTCCCTGAAGCGAGGTCCCTCCGACCCTTGTGGGGCAGAAGCGCTCCTTTCGTCCGAGAGGTCAAACGTCAGTCACTCGCCCCTAGCGGGAGGCCTCAGAGCTTGGATTCAGGGCTGGGGAGGGAGAGCAGAAAACGGTCTGTCCTAGGACTTCGCTCCACCTGCTCGGGGCCCGGCCTCTCCAGCCCTCGTCCCCACCGGCCGGCTCCATGTGAAACCGGTCATGTGAGCCTGTTTACAGCCGAGCAGCTGGTGCAACCATCGGGATCCGTGCGGAGGTCCGGGAGCGGGAAGAGCACAGGCCACGTACCCCCTACGCCCTCCCCCACTATTGCAAGAGGGCGTCCCCCCTCCCTCCCCGCCTCTCCGCCCCACTCTCATCTCCCTCCAGGCAGAGAGCA